ACACACACACACACACACACACACACACACACACACACACACACACAGCTTCCCATGCAGGTGGAAGGCCAGTGTGTCTACCATAGACCCATAGGCGAGACTTTAGGGTGTGTGGACAGACAAGCTCTGTCGTAAGTTTGCTCAGCCGTGGTTGAACTGTTCCAAGGAGAGACAAGCTACAGATGAGAATAAACATGGGGGCGTGGCTGGGTACCAAAACAAACCCCAGCTTACTAAAAATAATTATTGTGTGCACATACATGTAAGTATGTGTGTGTACGCCCGTGCCCACATGCTACAGTGTGTGTGTGGGGGTTAGAGGACAACTTTTGGGGGTCCACCTTTCCTACTCAGACTGTGAGGCTTGTAGAAAAGTGCCTTTACCTGTTGAGCTATCCTACACTTTCTTAGATTTTTGAGACACAGTCTCACTGTATACCTATGGCCGGTCTGGAACTTGCTATCCCCCTGGCTTCACCTCCTGTGTGCCAGGGTTACAGGCCTGTGGCACCAGGCCCAAGCCTTCCCTGCTATTCTGACTCGGTGCCAGCCACATGGAAACTCTCTGACTTTCCCTTGTTCTAGTCATCAGACCATCCGTATCCCAGAGTCCTGCCTCTTTCTAGAGGGGGAGCTTTGAGAGGCAGCTGGGCGGTGCTATGACACCCTCTTTCCGTACAGTTTCCTGTGGCTGTCCACATTCCCATCATGCCTGTGTGATGGAGTCTCTGTGAAAACAGAGTTTGGGGTGCTCCCAGAAAGCCTCTCGTGGGAAGGTTCCCGCAGGGGGACATCTGGAGAGGGCAGGAGGGCGTCCACTGTGCCCACGCAAATCTCCATCTGGACTCCTTGCAGTTCCTTTCTGATTAAGCTGCAGACACCTCTCCCTAGTTCTGTGAATCACTTGAGAAAATGACTGAGGAACCCTGATGTGTAGCTAGTGAGCCAGAAGCAAGGGGGTCCCCTGGTGCTTACAGCCGCCTGAGGTTCGGGGACTAAGCCTCTTGACCTGTGGGGTCTGGCGCTGTGTGCACATCTGTTGGGCAGAAGCTGCTAGAAACACACACACCTGAGTAACCACATGATGACCTCAGGGACTGAGGAGCATAGAGTGTGGCTGATCCAGGACCTAAGTGCAAACTACCTGGGGTCCTTCACAACCATCTCCTACCCACCTCTGCACTGACCTAATGTTGGTGGCTATTAAGGAAATCCTTTAGAAGGTACAAACAGAGGATCGATCTAGAGGCTAAGAACGCCCTCAGCCAGCACAGGAGGTCCACGGTAGGACTTGTCTTCTCCTTCATGGCATTTCCACCAATATATTTGAAAAGTGTCTTGATTTATGACATCCTTTGTTCCGTTTAGACAAACTCTCACGGCAGAGTTACCACCACGGGAACATGGGGTTTGGGGTAACCTCGATCTCTGTTCCCAGGCCACCACCACTCATATTTAGTTTCAGAGTAAATGGCCTCCTATCCCCACAGAGGTGAGTGGCAGTGGACAGCATCACACTGAACTGGATTGAGGACACCAGTCAGTGTGTGCACGGGAGCTTCGTGGCCCTCCCCTCACAGGATATACTCTGCATAGACTTTTCTCATGATTCACGAGAGAGCAGGCAGAAGTTCCTTACGCACGGAGGGACAGGATGCAGAGCCAAGCTACTCTGAGCTGTGTGGTGATAGGCACACCTGTAAGTCTGACACTCAGCCGCCTCCCCTGCAGATGACGGTAACAGAACCACAGCAAGGCAGGCGCTGGATCTGTGTACAGTCCTCTCTGTGCAGAGCCTGGCTGGCTTCGTTAGGGCAAAATTTTTACTGTGAGGCGGGGAAGATCCGGGACCATCTACAAAGTGATGGCACAGAGCTGGGGAATCCCGACTGCCATCCTCACAGCATTCTGCAGGGCGCCACACCCGAATGTGGACCTGGGACACAACTGCTAGGTGTCCCCATGTCTTCGTCCGAGGGGCCCTCTACTGCAGTGGAGCCAAGAGGGACACTCACCAGGTTCATGATGAAGTACAGCTCAATAGAGAGGTACACGATGAAGAAGACACAGGACCAGGGGTTCCGGGAGTAAGAGGGCATCATGACATCTGGAAAGCTGCATGGCGGAGGGTCAGCTTAGCCTCTAAGGATGCACCTTGTGAGAGACAGCTGCTCCCCTGCACTCGCAGACTGCCTCCTTCCCTGTGTGCACTGAGACTGGGGAGGGGTGTGGAGGGGAAGACGGACATCCCTGGGCCGTAGTGGGGACAGAGGTCAGTGGTGGGAGTGATCCCAGACTTACTTGGCTGTGGTCAAGAGAACGAACAGGTTGACGATGCTGTTCTCCAGGGTGTTGAAATACTGCAAGGGAAGGGCGAGGATGTGTTCCCAGGCCTGTCCAGTCACCTCCAGAGCGCCTCTCCCCCTTCCGCCTCGGAAACGCAAGGGGCATCAGGGCAGAGGTGGGAGCCTGCACTTTCTGAGCCTGCGCTGACAGAAGGAGCGGGCTACCAACTAAGGGAGTGAGGGAGTTTCCTGGGGTGTCACGTGTCCCTGTGAGGGGCTCCCTCCTCCACTCTCTGCCAGAATGCCTCAACATTCCAAACCTGATCCTGGAAGCTTTGCCCGTAAGAACAGCAAAGAGGGTGTCCCTTGGCTCTCAGGGAAAGTGGTGGCTCAGGTCTGAGGAATGAGGACTCTTGGGAACTGGAAACTAGGCAGGGTGCCCTTCCTAACACGGCCAGGTTCCTCCCGGCTACCCTGTCTGAAGGCCTCCCTATAGACAAGGGACCAAGAACTCATTACTTACCGGGTCAGAAGGGTTCGTGGAGAATAAGTAGAAACCTAGAATGAGGTAGAAAAACAGACCCAGAGTGGAGTTAGGGCAGAGCCAGGGGAAAGGCTCGGGGAGGGCACTAGGGTGTAGTGAGGACCTCAGGTCTCTGAAGAACACACGTGCTGGCTAACGGGGGTCATGCCGCTGCGTGCAAGCCTGCTGACACCTAGGAATGAGTGCTGGCTCTGTCAAGTCTATTCTTTCAAAAGGGCTGGAAATCTGTTTTTTTATATTATTATTATTATTAATTATTATTCTCTAAGTTTGAATTTTAAGCTGATGGTTTGAGGTTTTCAAATTAAACAAATCCCATCTGTGGGCTGGATCATAGAGGCAGGCTGCTGATGGATAGAGTGTCTCTGTGTTCCGAGGACATGGCAGTCCAAGTCACACAAAAGGCAAGCCAGGCCTTGAGCAGGGATGTTACTCCTTCCTCAGGAGACTGAGGCAAGACATTCAAGGGTTCTAAGCCAGCCGGGGATACACAGTGAGACTCAGCTGCCCCGGCTCCTCTACCATGTGGGGACTCAGCCCACGGGGTCTGGAGACTGACCGGCAGGATGCGGGACGCTCGCTCACCGAGGATGGCGAAGATGATCATGAAGAAGAGCAGCAGCAGGAGGATGTCCATGAAAGGTGGCAGCGACTGGAAGATCTGCCGCAGGTTGCTGGGGAGAGAGACGGCCAGCTGAGGGGGCGGCAGGGGTGGGAGGGCTGATCTGTGTCCTGAGGTGGGGGAACGAGCTGGTGGAGATGCGTCTGGTATACCTGACCTACTGACCCAGGAGGGCACCATGCTTAACTTAGTCCTAACGTACCTCCACACAGCAGGTGACAGGGACAACAACAGTTTGTGTGTGTGTGTGTGTGTGTGTGTGTGTGCGCACAGCCATCTCCACTGGGTGACAGTCCCTTAAGAAGGAAGGTATGGCTATATTACCTGGGAGGGACTAAGGTCACCTTCCACAGGAAGGAGGGGGCACACACACACACACATACACACATACACACACACACACACACACACACACACACACACACACGTACTAAGCCACCCAGTCCCAGGATAGTCGTGTCTAGCTTTGGGCACAAAGGATCAATTCCCTGCAGTTAGAAAGGTCCCTGGCCAAATAACCGGATGAAGTCTCCAAAGATGGGTTTAATTCTGGGTCGGGTCAGCTCTGGGTTCAGGGCTCTGGACTGGGTGGGAGGAGCCTGTAGGACAGGGCTGAGACGTCTGCCTGAAGCTACTCTTGTAGGGCTGGAGAAGTGACACACCCAGACTGGGGAGGGCCCTGGGTCAGAGTGGGTAGGGCTCCACTCCCCAGAAATGCCTTACCGCCGCACACCGCCACAATACCGACAGTCCACCAGGAAAATGCAGCGTAGTGCCCGGGTCACCCGCACGTGGGACGTCTGCCGCACCAGCACCACAATGGCCTCGATGAACTGCACCACGAGGACAGACGTCTGGGGGTGACAGGTCAGAACACACTTAGCTCCCTGACCCAGTCTCCAACGTACAGAGCAGACATGATGAACACAGCCCACAGGGACCAGGAGGGCTCCTTCCGTCTCTGCCTCTCTCGATAGCCAACAGTGAGCCCTGGGGTGGTCAGTACAGACGTGTGGTCTGAGATGAAGCTGGCGTGCAGGTCCTCTCGGCAGTGCAATACCACCCTGGGTGCCCACCAATGTTCTCCCGACAACCTCACGGCACCAGGAAGGCCTTCAGTTCTCGGCTCATTCCAGCTCTGCTCGTTTGGGGATGTGGAAGAAGGAGGCCAGGGCACTTGCCGGCACCTATAGGTGACCCTATAGGTTCCTGGCATATGCAAATCATCTCACTGGGCTACACTCCGGAGCATACACTGGGCCCAAGGGGATTTTAAATGGAGATGTAGACACAGATGTGACAGGGACCCAGGAGGAATCACGGCAGTGGAGTAGACAGATGGATCCATTACCTTGACCATGGTGCGTTTGTGCCGGACGAACGTGTGGAAGCCCAGCCACCGCAGTTTCATACAGAGCTCAAATACCACCACCATGAGGGCGAACAACTCCAGGGTGGCGTGGACCTGCAGCCACAGAGGTGAAAACCAGCTTCAAGGAGACTGTCCACGGAAAACAAGCTTCAAGGAGACCGTCCATGGCACCTCCCCTCTCCTGGAACTTCTCCTGGGACACACACACACACACACAGAGAGAGAGAGAGAGAGAGAGAGACAGAGATAGAGATAGAGAGAGAGAGAGAGAGAGAGAGAGAGAGAGAGAGAAAGAAAGACCTACCAAACCTCAAGATGCCAGACAAGGCTTGGAGACAGAGCTTTTCCCAGACAACTAAGAATAACCCTGACATTCAAGAGATAGAAATGCAGACCCGCATAGTATAAAGTTAGGAAGGAAGGAGTCTGAGGCTCTAACAGAAAAAAAAAAAAGTCTTGTTCTGGGGAGAACTGTGTAGTAGTTATTTTAAAAATCCACGAAAGGCACCCAGGAAACAAAGACAGGGATTAAAAAGAAAAAGAAAGTGAAAGATGCCAAATGTAACCGTCATCTGCTTCTAAGGCAGCTGTGGGGGCTAGGGCGATGGCTTGTGGGTAAAGAAACTGGCACTCCATCCCCTGAACCCATATACAGACACAAAAAGAGCCCTCTCCACACTTGTCTGACCCTGTATTTGTCCCATGGCATGAGTGCAGGTACACACATATGCACACACACATACACACGAGTGCATACACAGACACTCAAATGGACATATATACACACACACAGATACACTCATGCACACCCACAGACACACTACACAAATGCACTCACACAGACACTCACACTCACAGATACAGACACACAGACACTCACACACTCACACAGATACACTCAGACACACTACACAAATGCACTCACACAGACACAGATACAGACACACACACACACACACTCAGACACTCACACAGATACACTCAGACATACACTCAGCCAAATACACACACACACACATACACACACACACATAACTAATTTCTTTTTCAAAGAACTTATGAACAGCCAACTCTCTAACTCTTCCCCATAGGATGGAAAGACAGTGATCCCAGGAAGACCCACAGTGGGGCTTCACCCATACTGACGTGGACTATGGCTCTCCCAGGCCTGACCACAGGGTAGTCTGTTGAGACAGGCCTCTGAGTGAGCTTTGCAAGGCCCCAGCCTGTCCAGCCTGTTCACAGAGTCACTGGGAAACAGAAATGCACCCCCTCCAGCTGGGGGCAGGGAGCAGCTGCACCATCTCACTATGCTTCTAGAATGTTCTGCGTTAGGTCCCCTGAAATCACTAACAGGGTGCCGTGGCTCCCTTTCCCAGGGCACTCACGTAAGCGTGGAGCTTGAGCACAGGGACGGCAGGTGACTCGCACAGGGACAGCAGCAGCAGGAGCAGGGCCGTGAGCAACTCCATCATGTAGAAGAAGTGGTTGTGTACGAAGAGGTAGGCCGCCAGCGCCCTGGCATCCTTGGGGTGGGTGAAGAACTTGTCGTTGTTCTGGCCTTCCTGCAAAGATGGGAGAGCCTGAGTACCAGAGCACAGAGGTGCCTGGGGAGCTACGGTAGGGCAGAGAGCGGGGAAGGTCACAGAGGCTACGACAAGGCTAAGGCCAGAGACAGGTTAGCCACACCTCTGCCTGATGATGGCTCAGGAACTGCTGGCTTAAATCTGCCGAGCCAGGAGGTCTCGAAGAGCTCAGAGAAGTGTCTGCTCCTTACAGGGGATGATGAATTCTTAGGCTTGAAGTAAAGGGTCTATCCATAGGCCAAACTAGCAGTCTGGGCCAGGCTTTCCTCAGCCTTCTCTGTGGGCACCGGAAAGTTCCTTGCCTTCATCAACAATGGCGAGGAATGGAAGCCTAGAGTTTCCCAGAGTTCAAAGATGCCAGGAATCTGATGGCCGGTATACCAAACAGTGGCCACGGGATGTTAAGTGATAGACGGTGTCACTTGAGAGGAGCTCTGCCCAATGAGACTCCCACAGCACACAACCCTGCCCAGTAGAACCGCTGTTGCATTCTGTGTCTACTTAGCTCCTTGCTTATGTTTTTTTTTTCTTCTTCAACTTATGTTTTTTTGTTTGTTTGTTTTTTTAACGAGAGAGACTGAAGCACCCCAACTTCACCTTGGACAGACTCCAGGACACCCCTCAGTGCCCTGTGACGCACAGAACAGCCCCCCTCCCCCCAAGAAGAACAATGCACCGCAAATGTCACTGTACCGAGGCTGGCACCTCACTCACTCACACCTCGGTGGCTCAACGTCCCAGAGAAAAGGCTGCGACAGATTTCCACATCTGGGGATGCAGTGGGAAAGTAATCACACTGGGGGACCACCCTGCCTTCCCTACAGCCGGCTTCCCTTTCCCAGGAGGCCATGGCCACAGCTGACAGGAGATTCAGTTGATTCTCTAAAGCTGTGTGCTGCTAACCTCCTTGGTAACGGAAGACAAACCACAGGCCAGACAGAGGAAGCAGAGGCAGGTCGTGCCCAGGGGAGGCTGCAGAGCCCTGTGGTCTGAGCAGGGCGGCGTCTCCCACCACCTCATGGCAGCCTCAGGGGCACAGAAGGCCCCAAAGCTTCTACTTTAAGTTACTAAAAAAAAAAAAAAAAAAATCAATTCTTGTGCAAATTTTCCAACCAACGGCTAGGGAAGAAGGTGTGGCTAGATAAAGACAGCCCAAGAGGAGGCTCAGTTCCCAACTCCAGGATCCATAACCACCCAGGGGATGCGGGGTAGGGGGTGTTTGTCTCCACCAGCAAAGATGGGCTGAGCATCCACATCACAGGATCTAACTCAGCTCCCAAAGAGAGCTCTGGGCTTGTGTACAGACTGCCCACCTCAGGCCTCTGCTCTCTGGGGTTCAAGTCTCCAGGGCACCAGAACCTCGACATTCATGGTTCCTCAGGGCGAGCGAAACAGTTAATAGGCAAAGGTAAGAGCAGAGGAAGCCGCTGGCAGCAGCTGCCCTTGATGCAGCCAGAGCCTGCATCCCACATACACTGAGACTGGTCCATTCTCTGGGCCAGAATGGCTGTAGGAGGTGCACACTTGAAATCCCAGCAGTCCTGAGGCAGGGAGTGCTCTGTGAGATTGAGGCTAGCCAGGTCTACATAACAAGTTTTGGGGCAGCCAGGGCTACACAGCGAGACCTGGTTTCTTAAACAAAAGGGAAAAATTATGTTGCCTGAGACTATCTGAACTTATGTTAACAAACATGTAATAGTTTTAAAGAAAAGTACTGCTTTAAAAAAAAAAAATTCCCTAAACACTACCAGCCATGGTGGCACATGCCTTTGACCCCAAAACTCAGGAGGCAGAGGCAGGAGAATCCCTGTGAGTTCCAGACTACATAAAGTGACCCTTTCTCAAAAAAACAAAAACAAAAACCCCTCCCCCTAACAACAACCATGAACTATCAGGCCATACAGCAGCAACAAGGCACGTGAAGAGACCAGACTATGGAGTCACCCACTGCATGAATAGCCCTGTGCTACAGTGCAAGGCAGACAGAATGCTCCCTAAGGGCTGGGTCAGTGTGTGTGTAGTCCTGGAAGCCAGAAGGGACGGACTGAGGACTTGGGCAGACATAGCCACAAATGGGGCTCAGAGGAGGACCCTACGGCACAACCAGGTGAGCTCCCCACCCCATCCTCCACCCCCTACCCCCGTCCCCCACTTCTAGTCTGGAGCAGGGACAGCCATGCAGACCACAGCCATGCTTCTGAGCTTCTGACCTGAGCACGCCCCTCCCCCTCACTCTGGCATCCAGTGTCTACCCCCAGGCACTGACCTGGACACACTCACCTGGAGGTAGATTGCTGCCTCTTGATAATTCATCTCCCAGTTGTGTCCAGTGGGACTGGAGGGGGAACTGTCGGCCTCGGAGACCAGACTGGGAACCTGGGAGTTGTGGACACCGTGGCTGCCCCCATCTGTGTTAGAAGAAGGGGGGGGGGAGACTCAGAAGCTGAGGTGGTTTGGATAGGAACGGCCCCCATAGATTTCTGTGTTTGAATGCTTGGCTCAGGGAGCGGCACTAGGAGGAGGCATGGCTTTGTTGGAGGAAGTGTGTCACTGTGGGGGCGGGCTCTGAGGTCTCCTATGATCAAGTGACGCCCAATGTGGCACAGTCTCCGGCTGCCTGCAGATCAAGATGTAGACCTCCCAGCACCATGCCAGCATGCTTCCCGCCGTAATGATAGTGGACTAAGCCTCTGAAACTCTGAGCCAGCCCCAAGTAAATGTTGTCCTTTATGAGACTTGCCTTGGTCATGGTGTCTCTTCACAGTGATAAGACACTAAGACAGAGGCCAGGCTTAAGATACCACAGAACCGCTCAGCATGAGAGGGCCCGGTTTGTGGTCAGTCTGTCAGTGTGCCAACCTGTACTGCAAGCAACAAGCATCAGGGTGGTGGCTCAAAAATACTTTCTCTTAAATAGGAAAAAAAAAAAAAAAGGACCAGCAAGATGGCTCAGCAGATAAAGGTGCTTTTCACCAAGCCGGATGACCCGAGTTCACTCCCAGGGACTCCCATGGTGGGAGGAGGGGGTGTGTAGACATGCCAACCCCTTCAATAAACATGTAATTCTCTTAAAAAGAGAAAGAAGCACAGAAGACCAGAGGAAGTCGGGGAGGGAACGGCTAAACCTACACATGTCTATATATATTTTGAAAAAGAAACGCAGGAAGAAAAACAAGAAAGAATCTGGCTGTCTATGAGGGCTGAGGGCGGGCAGAAGGGAGGGCTCGCTGCATAGACTTTTGACTTTTGGAAGCTTATGGAGATCCAGCTGAGTCAAACATTTAACCAAAGTTAGTTCTCCCCACCCCCGGAGGACCATCTGTTGCCTTCCTGCTCCCACCCTCCCTCAGCTCTCCGAGAACCCCCGGCCTGCTTTGTTCTGACACAGTGCCCTCTCCCACCCTTGGCCACAGTGTTTGGCTTGGACAGAGGCAGCTCTGGCTCACAGGCAGCTGACCCGGGCTTGCCAGCAGAGCCGGAGACCATGGTGAGCACTGGATCCAGCCAACTGGAGCCGAGTTTGGCGCCTGTCCTGGGTCAGCTGGGAAAGAGGAGCTCTTTCTCTGCTCTGGCTGCCTCAGAAGGAAGGGTCAACGGGACCCTTTGATTTCCAAAGCTCGTTAGCCTGGCTCGTCACAATCCGTGGTCTCTCCTGATCCCCCTCGGTGAATCTGAACACGGGGCAGTGAGTCCCCACGCGGTTCATTTACTGAGAAGAAATTAACCTATGACAATCTGGTTCCCCACAACCCACAGCAAACGAGGTTTCAGTAGAAGAAACCTGATGTTTAGGTACTGTTATTCGCATGGCTGGCGGGAAGCAGCTGTGTGGTGCACACAGCCTTCACATGGCTGGCGGGAAGCAGCTGTGTGGTGCACACAGCCTTCGAATGGCTGGTGGGAAGCTGTGTGGTGCACACAGCCGCACAGGCTAGGACAGAAGAGACCAGGGCTACTGGGGTCCCCAGGTCCCGAGATCTCTCTAACCTGGAAATGCAGGCCAGGGTCACTGGGTACGGCCGTCCACAAGGCTCTCTCCAAGGATTTATAAAACCACACGGAAGGGATCGCTGACACTAAAACATACATGTTTTAAAGTGCACAGCTTGACAATTGTGTGTTTGGAGGTGTTGGGAGTGTAACCCAGGCCCTTGTGGGGACTCTGTCGCTGAGCTACATCCTCAGCCGAACCTCATGTTTAAAGTCTATGCACACTTGTGAAAACAGCAGCTAAATCAAGAAGTTACACAAATAGAGGCCTGGGCAGCACAGGCCTGGAGTTCCAGCTTTGTGAGAGGCAGGAGGACTGCGAATTCAAAGCCTGTCTGGATTAGAGAGTTCAAGTCCAGCCTAGACTTGAAATCTCCAACTCAGAATAAAATATAGGCCCCACCGAAGAAATGGCCCAGAGGATTAGGTAAAGGTTTTTGCTACCAGGCTTGCTGACCTGAGTTCAACTCCCAGGACCCACCATGGACGAAGCAGAGAACTGACTCCCACCTTGGCCTCTAACTTCCACATGTGCAGGATGGACAGATGGACATGGTAAATAAACACATATTAGGAGTTTAAAAGAAGCCAAGTCTGATGGCATATGAATCCCTTTAAGGTCAAGGCTAGCCTGGTCTATATAGCAAGGTCAGATCAACCAGGATAACAAGACTCTGTCATGGATGGGTGGATGGATGGATAGATGGATGGATAGATGGATGGATGGACAGATGGACACACAGGTATGTACGTACATACATACATATGTCAAAAGTAAAAGTGGGCCAGACATAGCAAGATGCTGTCTCAAGCATATAAGTTAAAAGCGAGTAGGTCAGAAGCACAGCTCAGCAGGAGAGCACAAGCTTAGTGGGCGCGAGGCCTGCGGTCAATCCTCAGCAACATAAAAACTAAACTAAAACAATGGAAAGAATAAAGCCAGGTGGTGGCAGCACACACCTTTAATCCCAGCACTCAGGAGCCAGAAGTAGGCAGATCTTTGAATTCAAGGCCAGCCTGGTCTACAGAGTGAGTGAGTTCCAGGAGAGCCTGGGCTATATAGAGAGACCCTGTCTTGAAAGACCAAAAATACATGAATATACAAATAAATCTAAATTAAGGGGTGAAAGAGCCATGGCTTCTTCTGCCTCCCGTCTGGCCACGGGGCATCCATCACTCAGCCGCCACCCTGCCTGACGGCCCTGCACGGCTTACAACCTTCTGTGAGAGGACGGGCTGTCCAGTCTGCGCATCTGCCTTCTCCTCACAATCTACGCAATCTGAAATGCATCTGTGCCATGTGGCGTGTCAGTCAGTCCTGGGTTACTGAGGATACTCCACCCTGTAACTGTGTCCTGAAGTATCCAGTGTCCACCCCGACGTCCACTGATACTGACTCCGTGCAGCCGCTGAGGGCCAGGCTGTGGAGCAAGCTCATTCCTTAGGCGTAAATGAACACCTAGAGGTCAGGTGACCTGTCACCAGTGTAACCTCCGAAGCACAAACTAGGCCAGGCATGGCCCGATGCAATCCCAGTGCTTTGGGGACTGGGGCAGGAAGATCCTAACAAGCTTAGATTACAGGGAGACCCTGCCTCCCAAAAGAAGAAGAAAAACCCACCAAACAAATTCCCAGTAATAATCATTCTCCACTCCGACCAGCTGCCTGAGCCATCCCGAGCTTCCTAAAAACCAACAAAACCAAAACAGAACACAAACTAACAAACCAACCAATAAAAGCAGGCAGGCAGACGCAAGCGGCCTGGGAAGCACGAGCAGCTCTCGGACCGTGCCTGAGGTCGAGGCCCTTCAACAACACGGCCTAGCTGCTCAGCTCCAGAGAATAATAACACTGTTAGCACATAGTAGCCTCTCCCTTTGCCTGATGAGCCACAGCCCACTAGTCAGTCCAGCTTGCACTAAACCGGACAAACACCTACAGGGCCTGGCTTGTGCACCAAGCACTTCACTGATACAGAGTGGCTTCTTCCTCACGAGGGAGAGAATGCCTTCTGCACTTCCGCAGCTGGCGTGGAGTCCACATGTGAGCAACTTTGTCTGGACTCAGAAGATGGATGATGGGGCTCTTGGGGTGTGTGCCCGGGGAGCGCGGGCTGGCGGAGCAGCACGGGCCCTCTGTGAGGAGGAAGAATGGGAGTGTACTGTCCTTGGTCTGTAACTGCACAGGTCACAGCTGAATCAACACAGGCCGAGGGGGCCTCAGGAAGTTGACAGGCCCCACCCCTAGGATCAAAATGATTCCACAGATTCCTGTTTCAAACCCTCCCTTGTCTGGCCGCTGACAACAAGCACCAAATACGGTGTAAAATAGGCACATGTGTCAGTTTAATTGTCTTCTTGTAGTGGGTTTTTTTTTTTTTAACGGTTTTTCCAGACAAGGTCTTGGGGCAGGATAGCATTAAAAGGACAAGTCCACGGAAGTGCCTTGGCTGTCCTTGAACTCGCTCCTTAGGCCAGCTGTTAATTGGCTTCTTAATCTTCTCACAGGCTCTTCTGATCTGACACAGCTGGAGCCATCTCTCCTCTGGGCCAACCCAGGCACACTTCTATACCAGACAAATCTAGTGTGTGTGTGTGTGTGTGTGTAGGTGTGTATGTATGTGTATGTATTTATGTGTATATGTGTTTGTGTGTGTATGTGTGTATATGTGTGTAGGTGTGTATGTATGTGTGTTTGTATTTATATGCATGTATGTGTATGTGTGTATGTGCATGTTAACTTCTCAGTTCCCACATAACCAACCACCTTAAGAAAACCACAGTAGGGCAGGGAGACAGCTGGGCTCAGAGGGTGCTTGCAGCATAAACATAAAGACCCCCAGAGCTGTACATGGTGGGGCTGTGATACCAGCACTGAGACAGGGGAGTCAGGTGGGCCTGGGGCTCACTAGCCAGCCAGTCTAGCTGGAAATGTGAGCTTCGGGTTCAGTGAGAGATTCAACGTCTCAAACAGAACATTGGAATAAAACCTCTGTCCTCCATACACGTATGCATAGGCATGTGTACCCACCCCCACATGCACAGCACAACACACACACACACACATACACCTAAGCCAGCTAGTATTAGTCTTCTGCTTCTGAAATAAACATATGCACACTTCTGTCTCCCTGGGAAACCATAAGCATTTGCCCTTAGCACATACTCCAATTTAAAAGGCCCTCCTTCGTATCTTCTCATCCCTTTCACCCCTTCTCCATCACTACCCTGGCCCCTCATTATTCTGGAACTTTCTGCTTAAGGGACCTTTAAGCAGTCAGCTTTCTCAGGTCCTTCAGCTTTCCACCGCAGCGCCGTCTCAGGAGAGACTGCCCTTGGCTCCTCTGTGAACTCCCATGACCATCTGTCTCTGACCTCTGGACCCTACAGGGTCTGGGAATGCTCAGATCGTGGCATGT